CACCACCCATGCCATGCCGCGCCACATGCCCCTTCTTCTTTTCCTTCTTTTTCTCCTCCTTCATCTTCCCTGTTCTTCACACTTCACATTCTCCTTTCCTTGTCTGATCTCTTCTCCTTCTTCTTCCCCTCCTTCCACCTCCCTGATTCTAGCCTCCCCACTTCTCCCTTACTTGCTGATTTCTTCTTCCTTCCTCCTTCCACTCCCATTCTAATCTTCTCCCTCTTCTTTCTTCTTGTCCCTTCTTTCTTCCTTGTCCTAATTCTCTCTCCCCTTTCCTCTTCTTTCCTATATCCGCATCCCTTTCGACCTTTATAAACAGCAGCGTACCTTGCTGTTTACACTCTCCAAATCTTACAAATACGTAGCTATTCTTCGAAAGGCGTCCGCGGTTGCATAATGGCCCCGTGCAAGCCGCTGCAACACGCCTCGCAATAGCCTGCCAAAGGAGAGGCTAGTCTGCTGGGCTCTTTGTTCCCAGCGCCCGCCCAGGTGTCAACAAACTTCCATTCGGAGCCGCCCTCCCCTCCTTTCCTATCTTCCTCTCCTCTCCTTCTTACTCTTCTTCCCCTCTTACTCTTTCTCCCTCCTCCTCCTCTTACTCTTCTTCCTCCTCTACTCTTTCTCCTCTCTCCTCTTACTCTTCTTCTCCTCCTCCTCTCTCTAGCATGTCCCTTCGTCTCTCTCCTCTGCTTCTTCCGCGTTTCGCACTTTATCCACTTTATGCATGTTTATACATACATCCATACATATGCAAATTCATATATGAATAAACAAATAAATAAATATTATATATAAACACACACACACACACACACACACACACACACACACACACACACACACACACACACACACCACGCACACACATATATATATACATTCCAAGATCTATACCTCATTCAATTCCTTCCTACCCCCTTGTCTCCCCCCCCACTCTCTCCCTCCTCCCTCCCCCTACCTGTAATGAGGCAGAACTTGAGCGCAAACTTGGCGGAATCTTGGACAGGAGGTTCCCGGACAGGTTACAGGTGGTGAGAGGCGTGTTCCTCATCATGGAACACGGCGTCGGGACCTGACACAGCTGGCATTCACTCAGGTCTGGAGAGGGAGAAACAATGAATTTATTGTAGATGAGACAAATTTGCCATAATCTATCTATATATGTAGGCTATAAATCTATCTATCTATATATAGGCGTGTGGATATTATGTAAATTTATTATAAATCAATATAACTGTATGAGCTGTCTTTTTGTCTGTACGTATAAGCGGTATGAGTGTACATCACAGTTTATGATTATATAATATATATAGCATCCCTCATCAAAGTCTCCTAACTGTAAACGATGAATAATAAATATAAAAGGGGAAATCTACTCACAAAGGAAATGCACACACTCAACAAAGCCAGCGGTAAGTATGACGTCACACATGTACGTACGGGCTCTAGCTCTATGACGTCACAAGGCCTTTGTTATCAAACGTGGCTGGGTGTTAACGTCCCGCGTGCAAGTTAAACAGAAGAGAATCCACCACAAGCCTTTTTCATTGGGTTCCGTGACATTGCTGACGTCACAAAAGAACTTGAGTTTCCCCCACCTTAAGTTCCGCGATTAGTCAGACGTAAAAAAAAAAAAAAAAAAATAGAAACCTACTTCAAGTCCTTTCATTCTTCTGCGCGAATAGTCTGACGTTAAAAAAGTTCAGAGATCGTCATCAATCCCTTTTTACTACGTTCCGAGACAATCCTAACGTAAAAAAAAAGAACTTGAGAGAAGAATCCATCTTGAGTCTTTTTAAGTTCCCTTTCTTTAAGTTCCGCACGATGTTGATACGAGAATGTAAAGAGAAGTTACTTGGGTGTAATATAACTTGTGTTCCTGGTGCATTGGGAGTTCTTAGACAGTCTTCTCCATCCTAACTATGAGTAGGGGGAAGGAGGATGGGAGAAAGGAAATGACAGGGAGGAAGAGAAAGAGGGAGAGGGAGGGAGGGGAGAGAGGAGGGAGGGAGGGGAGGGAGGGGAGAGGGAGACGGAGGGAGGGCGGGGAGAGAAGAGAGGACAGGGAGGAAGGGGAGAGAGAGAGGGAGAGGGAGGGGAAAGAGGAGGAGAGGGAGGAAAGAGAGGGAGAGGGAGAGGGAGGGAAGAGAGAGGGAGAGGGAGGGAGAGGGAGGGAGAGAGAGGAGAGGGAGGGAGGGAGAGGGAGAGGGAGGGAGAAGAGGGAGAGGGAGAGGGAGGGAGGGAGGAGAGAGGGAGAGGAGAGAGAGGAGAGAGAGAGAGAGAGAGAGAGAGAGAGAGAGAGAGAGAGAGAGAGAGAGATGAGAGAGAGAGAGAGAGAGAGAGAGAGAGAGAGAGAGAGAGAGAGAGAGAGAGAGAGAATGTTTACAAACATCAGCGTTCGTTCCGGGCCAAGACTCCGCGAAAGCCACAGGATAAAGGGAAGGAAACCGTCGCAACTGTTGAAATATTACGTAGAAGAAGGGGAAGGTCGGGGGCAGTAAAGGGTACTCCAAGGGTAGGGGCTAGAGGAGGGGGTGGAGGTGGGGGAAGGCAGCTGGCACCATTATCCCTTACTCCGATGCTGTGTCTTTTCGTGACGCAGTTGAGAGAGGCTAAAGCGCACCAGTGTCTCTGCCAGTGCGTACGCAGAACGAATATGTCTCGGAAAACTCTCTAAAGCAGTCTTTTAATGATTACAAAATGCGCACCTTCGGAATGTCTATGCTGGCCGATTCACCTGTTATCACATTGGAACGTAAAATTATGCACATTTAAATGCATCAATTCCTTATTTATCTTTCAATCTACTCTTATCGATCTAAACTCTAATGAATAAAATCGTACGTATATTCTTAATGACGTCAGCTAGAAATAATTCAAGTATATGTAAATTTGCATATTTACATATACATGAACCATAGATTAACCGATCTTCTCTAAACATCACACGCAGTTCTAATTAAACCCTAATTTGCCACCGTTTCAAGTTTAATGAATAACATACGCATCTGTGCCCATGTAATAGAAGAAGCAAGTTAGATGTGCGTAATAGCGGCACTAACTGAACGGACGGCGCACTTGCCCTGGGTGTGGCGGGGAGGCTGGCGGTGATGGAGGTGTGGCGTGGCGCCGCGTGTGGGGAGGGGGGGGATGGGAGGGGGTAGAGGCACCGCCAGCCTTGGGAGGAGGGGAAGGAGTCCTGCGAAGGTGGTAGGAGAAGAGGGTGGCGGGGTGGGGGATTTGGGGAGTCGAGAATCACACAGAGAGGATAAAAAGTCCTTGAGGCGGCTTGGTTTGGTGGAACGGGGTTACAAGGACATCTGCGAACTTTACATTCATCATCACTTAATCACTATCCAACGCTATCATGACCAACGTTGCCTACACCACCACCAGGATGTGTCTGGCACCGAAGCATCAATTAGCAACATCAACATGGTGATAAGAATGCGCAACGTGGGACTGGTGTATCCCCGGCGCTAAGCCTTTGTTCAATGCCTAGTTCGTGGTGCAGCATGAAATTATTCCTTTTTCATCTAGTTACTCACACGTTTCGATATACATTCTTTGTCTACCCTTTACTCTAAACCAATAAGAGCACTCTGCCCTTCCACTCCCTCCCAGGCCCGCAGTAAATAATCTGTAGAGTATTTGTCGGGTTTCTTGCGAGGCTGACCTTGAACGTTTGTCCGCAGCCACATCGAGAGCTGCCTGGGTCGTGTTTACGTTTGATCAGCTGTTGAGCGATCAGCTGTTCGTCGTCTATCTACTTCCCTCTAGGTGAAGATTCGAGCGCTGTCGAGTTTGGAGTTCGAGTAATTTATCGAATTTATATCCTGGTACTGTTACCAAAAGATGCTTTCTCATTCGGCATTAATTAGTGGCTAGTTCTCGAAAATACCGCAGTAACAGGAGTCCCGTGCAGCGTGTTCATTCGATAGTGACATTTTTACCTGTTTATGTCTGTCGATGCATTTGTTTTTATTTGTTGGGAGCGTCTGACTTCACTTGTGACCAGAATCACAAGAGCGCGTAAGGTCCATTTTTCTTAAGCGATAGAACACCAGGCTACAAGGTTAAAAGATGTTTGGGTTTTGCGTGCTTTGACAGACTCTCCCCCTTGCTTCTAAAAAGAGCAAGGTCGATTTTCATATAACACCATCACGTGGCTCGCAATACAAGTGTAAACAAGGTGCAGAGCGAGAAACACCACCGGGGTGAACAAAGACACGCTTGGGAATTCATCAATAATTAATAAACGGAAGAGATTACGTAAGTGCAAGTAATCTTTTGCAGTTAGCAGCTCGGCGAAAGATTGGTTGAATTTATAGAGCTCATTCACGGTCAATTAGATGAAAGCATGGGCTATAATCTCAAAAGCAAGTTTATAAACAGAGTCAGTACGAAATTAAGTCTCATTTTGTCGCATTTCTGGCATTGCCAAATCAAAGCTCAATTCATGAAGAATGTTCGCAAACTGGTCTTCGATTCGCGTCCAACCTTGATCGCTAAGGTTTTTGACCGTTAACAGAAAAATGTAGACACCGTGAGGCCAACAACATATTTTTTAATCTTTTTTTTGTACAATTTTCGTCTGAGTAAGAAGCTGTTGTTATCCACGGTATTTAAGTATTGACCTTGGTATGATTCTATTTATAATTTTAGGCGGCTCATCCTTCTCGCATGAATGACAACTTGTTTCATTTCAAAGCTCCTTTTTTCGTTTTTGTGGCATCAGTGCATAATGTACCCACGTCTAAGTGGTCTCTGTGGCTGCAGAGAGATCACTGCGCGCGCATCGCTGGCTCGGCTGCCGTGACGTCATGGTCGACACACACGGGGAAGCACGTGCGCATCGGCTATAAATACAATATCTTTTCCTGTGTTTGCCGGTCAAATATTTACCCAACATGATCTAAAACCCATAATCAGTTCGTCGTACCATCATTTAATTTCACCCCGCGTTGCCCTAGTGCCCATTCGCGAGCCAGACTTACCTAAATGACCGCCGTTTTCGCCACATTCGAGGCACCGAGAAGCGACGAGAGCTGCCTGCCGAGCCATCGCGCCTTCGCTTCGCCCGTCACTGCCAGCCACACCACGCTGCGTCTCATTCCTTGGCCCCTTTGCACTAGCTATAATTTCTCCGTTTTACATCCTTTCTTTAAAACATCTATCTATTAATTTTCTGCTAAATATAACTATCTGATATACTTTTCCTAGTTGGTTAAATGTTTTTAAAAAAACAATTTGCTTCTTGAAAATCTCGGCATTCATTTCGGACGATTCCGTGAAAAATAATAAATGAACAGCGAAGTGCGTCGAACCCGCTGGCTCGCGGCGGGAAACATGATTATTGTATTAATATTACAAAACTACGCAGCAACCTACTTATATAAAAGAACTTATTCTTAGAACATCTTGCACAGCTTTAAGAAGCTTTTTACCCTTACACTTCCCCTCTCTTGCCAGCATTATTAATCTTTCTAGTTAATCACAAAACAAACTAGTTTTATGTATTCCGCTTGTATAATGCTTTCTTTCTCCCTAAATACTTTACACATACACTACATGAAGTCGGTAAAAAAAAATACAAGCTTTGTGTTTCTCCCTCTCCATGCGGGATCCAGGAAACACCGAAACCATTAGTCAGCTGTTTGTGCTGTTCTCTACACAACAATATATGTAATATATATATATATATATATATATATATATATATATATATATATATTACACATCATATGTATATGTGTATATAATGTATATTATATGTATATATTATATGTATATATGCATATATTGTATATATGCATATATACATATATATACATATATGTATATATATGCATATATACACACATATGTAATGTAATATATATTACACACACACACACACACATATATATATAATAATAAATTATATATATATTATACTATATATATATATATAATACTATATATATATATATATTATATATATTACTACACACACACACACACACATATATATATATATATATATATATATATATATATATGTTTGTGTGTATATGTGTGTGTGTGTGTGTGTGTGTGTGTGTGTGTGTGTGTGTGTGTGTGTGTGTGTGTGTGTGTGTGTGTGTGTGTGTGTTATGTAGGTATGTAATATGTGTATATATATAATACGCATTAC